GACTCGAGGGGCTCATCAGCCAAGCTGGGTGTTGGAGGCAGTTCTGGGGAGCCCCATCTTGCTCCATCACCCCCAGCCTTGTCTCTGGAAAATACCTTGCCTGTTATTTTTACATGGGTTGGTGCTGCCTTCTCTGTTCTTGCCAGCTTTTCCACTTCCTTGGTATCAAGATATCCCCTAATGCCTCCCAATCCAAGCTCCAACTGCTGTCATTCATGTCTGACAACAGCTTTATGGGGCTGATGTCTCCTACTTCCCTGCTCAGATGCAGAGCTACACCATATTTTAATTAAATATTTAAGGTTTTGTCACATTGTTTTCAAATCTACATGGTTAAATGTAGTGGAACAGATCATTCCATAGCCTTGGAAGTCCAAACATTCAAACGGATGAGCCTATTAGTGTCATCAGCATCAGGGGAAAGCTTTTCTTTGTGGAGTCTCAGTGACAAATATTCCTTGGGAATGTGGCTACAACCCATCCCAAAGCTGGAGGGCCCCCCTTCTCCGGTTCTCCCTCACCTTCCTGCCACCATTATCCAAACTGTCTGGGGAAGGAGTCACTGCCCAGTGTTCTTGGGATCTCTGCCCCAGCAGGGCTGACAAAGCTGATGGGATGGGATTTGGGACATATGGCAGCATCCATGTTTTCTGCAAGCAAAGGATGTCAAGGCAGTTTGACAGGGGAGCCCAAGCCAGGCAGGCTTTGGGAAGCCACAGGAGGGCTATTTGCTACCTGGTACATCTTTTATGGCAGGGCTGCTTAATTTATGATCTATTTAACTAAGCCGGGGTATTAATTAAATAAAGTAAGAGCCTGATTAGGACTCGGAGAAATTTAAAAATAAAATCAGGCAGCAACCGAGCGAAATTGCAAAGCAAACACTTTGGCTGTAACCACTGGAGAGCTCCCTCTGGTCTTCCATCAAAGCTCCGAGCAGGGAGGGCAAATACAAGGGATTACATTGCCCCCAGATGTGTGTTGTTAGAATATGCCTCTGCCACCGTGGAGCTGCAGGAGCCGCAGGGCTCGCTCGTGGGTCCCTCGGCACTCGGGGGACCGGGAAGGAATTCGAGGCCCCTCCAGCCGAGCTGGGATTTGCAGACCCGTTAATTAGTGCTGAGTTCCCAGATCTCGGAGGCAGCCAAGAGAGGAGCAACTGTGAAGAGAGCACTGGCTTCCCCTGGAGGGAGCAGAGGGGAAGGGAGAGGGGAGCACAGGCTCACGGACCCTCAGTGACCGGGCTGGGCAGGAGCCGCCGTGCTGGGAGGATGGAGGAGGCCAGAGCGAGTGGAGCAGGTGGATGATGAGCTGTTGGAACCTGGATGGTTCCTCTCCTTCACTGGTGCCTTGGCAGGAGCCTCCCGGGCCTGTCCTGGTCTGTCCTCCCAGCAGGAGATGTGACACCTCCAGCCCTGCCACGTGCACAGACTGTCCCGGGAAGCTCTTGCTTGTCACGGGGAAAAGGCTGGTGCCAGAGGTGCCAGTGGGAATTTGGTGGCAACCAGGAAAACGGGATATGAGGGTGTGAGGAGGGAGGCAGGGTTGCTACTTCCAGAGGCTTCAGGTGAATAATTGATAGGCAATTAACTTGTACCTTCACCTTTTATAGTCTAATTCCCTCCCTCCTCCCCCTCCATGGCCTGTTCTAATATTAACTCTGCCTTCACTTGTGTCCCATTAGGAATAAAGCTTTCTTAAATCAACATGAATTATTTAACTCTACAGATTAAGTTAATTTGGAGCCAGAGCTCCTGTCTCTGACAATGGCACAAGTCAGGGATGGGACAAAAGGAGGGTCACTGGGGTGTCAAGTGCAACCACATTCAATCACAACCATTTCCCTCTTTTTATTTAATTTTTTTATTTTATTCCAATCCTCTTCTTTGCCAAATCTTCCCAGTGCTCCCCTGCAGAGCAGAGGAAGCATTTCCATTAACAAAATGATGGCTGGCAGCTTGAGACATCTGCATTTCCCAGCTTTCCTGCTCTTTAGCAGAGTCTGATCAGGAAATAAAGAGGTTATGGCCTGGGAAAGGCCATTTTTCAGTATTTGTAATGCTGATCTGCAAGGAGGAAATGTAACGAGGTGATGTTTCAAATCCAGAAACTGTTCAGCTTGGAACCTTTTCTCCACACTTTTTAATAGAACTCAATTCTCTGAATGCAAAATTCAGAGCATGTAGAGCCAGGATGTCAATTCAGAACAAAAAAAAAAAAAAGAAGTGATGAAAATGTGATCATTTTCTTCCAGACAGTCTCTTCTCCTTGAACAAGTTTGGGCCTTCACAAAGCTGCATTTTCTGCTGGGAATATTTTCAGTGGCAAAACAGCAACCGGCTCTGCTGGGAATGAAACAGAAACATCAAAC